TTCTCCTTTTCTGTGGTTTTGTTTTGGTGGTATGATTTTTTTTTTTACTTTTTACATGGCATTGTCCCCATTGGATGTGCCATATACACGGGTATATTTGTAGCACATACAGATACTCATGTGTAACTGTTATTATTGTTCAGTACTGTCAAGTCAGAACCGACCCATTGCTGACCCTCCAGCAGGTTTTCAGAGGCAGTAAATTGCACCGGAGGAGATTGCCCATCCTTCTCCATTGGAGCAGCTGGTGGATTCAAACTATGTACCTTCGAGATTGCTGCACAGCTTCTTACCACTAGGCCACCAAGCCCAAGGTGGTATAACTTATCTGTCCACTTGCTGTACAGAGATAACTCGTCGTTGCTGTGATGCTGAACACTGTGACACTGATGTGTCAAATGTGATAATGGTTATCCATGGTGGACAGTGTTTGGTGGAACTCCCCGATTAAAACAAGCCTGGAAGCAGGAATGGCATCCACTTCTGAAATGGCTTGCCTCTGGAAACTCTATGAACAGTGCTCGGGCCTTGTGTTCATAAGGTCGCTATGAGTCGTCTACGACTAGATGGCACCTAACAACAACACAACAACAACCATGTTGAAGTATGATCCCCAAATTTGTGCATGGTCATAGATGTGGTCCCTTTCACTCGCCGACTTCCATTAGTCCTGTCTGTCTGTCTGTCTGTCTGTCTGTCTGCTTGTGTCTCCACTGATAGGCAGGCCCACGTTTGCTATTACTGGCCCTATCGGGTTATGTACGTACATCCTGGTCAGTGGTATACAACTCTTACGTCCATACGTTTCCAGCTGGAGGGAGGTGAGGCACCTGGTTTACCTGTTGTACTTCCTCGGGTTGCCATTCAGATTCTCTGCATTTTCACTCTGGTGCATCACAACACACAGAACAGCCTTTTGCCAAAAGCTCACGTAGTGATTATTCCTTTAGGGACCATCTTCCAAAATGGAATTCCTGCATCAGAAGGTCTTATTGCATCTTAGTTTTCAGGAGAGCTGTGCCATTTCCACTCACAGCAGGATTTCCGGGTTCCTGCTTCTCAAGTGAAGCGGCCGTCCGCCTCACATGCTGTAGCCTGGCGGAACCTTGTCGCAGACCGGCAGCGGACATGGTTAGAGGGCCTCTCCGGTCTTGTCTCCGCAGCATCCACCTTGAAGTTTGCCAGAGTCCGCTCCCTGTTGCCGGGCGCGGCCTGTGGATCGCGTCGGAGCTGCCTTCTAACTGAACAAATATGTACACGGCCTGTTTGTCAAACGTCCCGTCGTATGCCAGATACGCAGAGTTCAGCACGGCGTGTTTGTTTGATGACAATTGGTAGCACACCAGATAAATAGATCTGAACTTTGCTTTTTCCACTTAACCGTAATCATGGTGCTCAGTGCATGTTGGGGTGCAGAGAGCTCCCCAGTTGTTCTTCAGTGACTCAGAGTCCCACTGTGAGGGTGTGTCAGTCGTTTGCGGATGGATGTTTTCATTGTTTCCATAACACATTGCTGAAATAGCCTCGTCTGCTCAAGCCGATCTTCACAGGATGACTGTTGGGTTCAAAGAGAAGCTCCTTGGCAATCCCGAGGATGTACCCATGTGCTGCTCCCCCAGCATTGCAGGGAAGAACTTGTTTGGGGAGGATAGATGGGGTTTTGATCAGTGGGAAGGGCTGGGATTTTTCCATCCAGAAGCAGAAGAGAGAGAGGTAAGATGGCAGCCTGGACAGGTGACAGCTCAGACTCTACGACAAAGACACCTGAGAACAGAGGTACCAGACGTGGGTTCTGGAGTAGAGGGAATCATGAAAGAGCAGCTCAGACCAACCAACCAAAGAAACTGGAGGAAGACAGATAAAGAGCTGGGAGGCGCAGTGAATGGGAGGGTCCTGTTGACAGTTTGCAGGCAGCTTTCCAGTCAGGGCATGATGACGTGAAAAGCCAAGACTGCGTAAGTGGGGGTGTCGAAGGGAACTCGAGGTGTTAAAGGGAACTCAGGCGGACCCTCTGTCTAGGGAAGTGATGGCCTGCTCCAGCGAGACCCAGACTCCTTTGGTGACTTACCCCTGAAGAGGAGGAAGTGGTGACACGTGAAGCTGGCCACAGGGCTCTGGTGGCCCGTGGTGAGGGACTGCGCTGCACACCTGAAAGCGTGTGGTTTGAATTCTCCAGCTCCTCGGCAGGAGTAAGATAGCTGTCTGTTGCTGTGTAATTTACTGCCTCTGAAAACCTTCTGGAAGGTTGCCTTCAACTCCATGGTACAAAACAACAGTAAAATTGGTGGGATTTGGAGCTTGAAAATCAAGACCAACAAGAGGCCCTGAAGGGAATGGGGTTCAGGCTGGCACCCACCTTCCTTTCATTGGTCACTTCACCACTGGGCACTGATCCAGGCATGGTCACTTGCGTGGCCTCGTCTCTCCAGTCCCCGGAGCGGATGGTCACTCCCAGCAGCAACATGAAGACGCCCCTCGAGAACCAGCCAGAGAGGCCTCGGTTTGGACCATGAGTTTCAGAAACCCACGCTGGAGCCTCTCCCGCTGCCCCTGCTCTGCCTGCCCCACCCATTTCCGTTCCAACTTGGCGGTCAGTGGGACTCAACTCAGAGCAGATGGTCCTGTGTGATGACCACAGGACACCAGTGAAGCGGACACCCTCCTGTCTGCTGCACACGTGCGTGCGCACACACGCCATGGGGGCCCCAGGACACTCCTGATCTCATGACTGCCTCTGCCAATGGTGAGCATGGCCCTGGCCTTCACCCCACAGCTGAGCATGGAGCTGGTGCACGATGCACCCCGGCCAGGGGCTGTTACCAGACTGGTTCCCAGATGCAGAGATGTTGGCAGTGAGAAGTAGGAGATCTTCAGAGGTCACCAGTGACAGGGCTAAAGTGCCTGCCGTGTGGCAGTGGGTCCAGTGACGTCACACTTGTTTGTTATATCATTATTTGACCAGGCAGTTGGACTGTGTGGCCTACAAATCGCTCAAGTTCTCTTTTGAAGATGACACAGAAGGTGTGTGCAATGTCACATTGTCCCCCTTGCATCCTGCTCTCAGCCTGTGTGGAGAGCTTGGGGTGCTTAGACCTCTGGAACTCCAGCAGTAACACCAAGGTTCCAGCATCAAGTCGGACCACAAAGGGGGCGCCTGCCCTGATCTGAGAGCACGAGACTCTGGGCTGGCCATGAAGTTCCGTAGGGGACTGCAGCTGTGTGTGGGTGTGTGACTTTGGAGAGCTGTGAGTGTCCCAGGACGGTGAGTCAGCCTGGTTGCTGGGCCCTTGTTGACATCTTCCCGGGGTTCTTAGTGCTTAATTAACTGCCTGTTGGAGACCAGTGCCCACCCTGTCACTTACCTTCCCATCCTAGAACTCAATGTCTGCAGCCCTCATGTCCACGTATGCACAGTGTCCACTTGTTGTCATCATTGCTGTGGCATCCTGGGTGCCATTCTGTGCCGGCTCTGGGCTAAGTAGTCTAAGTTTATCCCACTGTGCACCCACCTAGCATTACCAGAGTGTTTCTATCTTTTCTGTCTCAGATGAGGCGGGGGAATGTTTCTGGGTTTGAATGTTGTTTATTCTCAGCGGTGTGGGTGACAGCTGGAAGCTCTGTGCTCACACGTACGTATGGCAAGGCCTCTGCCATCGAGTAAGTGCCAATGCATGGTAGTCTTCAGGTTCTGAGGCTGCAGTCCCTCCAGGAAAAGACTGCCCGTCTTTCTCTTGCGGAATGATGAGTAGACATCAATTCGAACCATCAGCCTTTCACTGCGACCTAACACATGATGTTATTGAGCGTGATGTTATTGTGATCCCTGTCCTGCGCCATCCTCATCATCTCTGACACACTTGAGCCAATTGCTGCAGTCACTGTGTCATTCCACATCTTTGAGGGTCTTCCTCTCTTTTGCTGCCCCGCCCACCTCCCCGGGCATGATGTCCCTTTTCAAGGAATGGCCTCTCCTAACATGCCCCAAGTGTGTGAGATGTAGCTTGGTCATCCTTGCCTCCAAGGAGCTCTCTGGCTGCATCTTCTCCAGACATACATGTATGTGTTCTCTTGGCAGTCCATGGGTTGGTCAGCACTCTTCTCCAACACCACAGCCTAAAGGCATCACCTCTTCTTCTGTCATTCACTGTCCAGCTCTCAGATGCATAGCAGGTGATTAAAAAGACCATGGTCTGAATGAGATGCACCTTAGTCTTAAAACCGATATTACTGTACTTAAGTTATTTCAAGTTGTTAAACTCTAGGAAGTCAGTTACGATTAGGGGCCAGTGTGGCCCGCTTCAGGATGAGGTGCAGGCCAAAGACTTGAGATGCGGTACCTCGCTTGGTGGCGGCTTCACTCACTTCCTGTGCTGTGTGGTGTGTAAAGAAAAGCATTAGAAGAAGCAATCCTGGAGCATGCACACAACGAGAAGACTGCCCTTGTCTTTGCTGCTGTTGAAGGTCCGTTAAAATCCGCATAACAGTGGCAGCCTGCCTGTCCACTCAGGACGGGAAGTCGTTACGTCTCAGTTGCCGTGGAAGGAATGATTTGTAATGCCTGTTACTTCTAGGTGCTTTAAGAAGATTTCAAAAATAGCTGACTACTGATACTTGTCACTGAAGCAAACACAGCCCCTGTAAAAATCTATATGACAAATTCTCACACCCAGGACCAAGGGGAGGTCCTCTGTGGGTGCCGGCCCTGTTGTCCAGGCCCCAGGACCGAGGGAGGCCCTCTGTGGGTGCTGGCCCTGTTGTCCAGGACCGAGGACCGAGGGGAAGCCCTCTGTGGATGCCGGCCCTGTTGTCCAGGCCCCAGGACCGAGGGAAGCCCTCTGTGGGCGCTGGCCCTGTTGTCCAGGACCGAGGACCGAGGGGAGGCCTTCTGTGGGTGCTGGCCCTGTTGTCCAGGGCCCAGCGGGTAGGACAGTGCTGGACAAGGAGAAAGGTGGGTTGCAGGCCCAGAAGCGGCTGGCTGTAACTCCTGTGCTTCCCTCCAGGGTGATGCTGACAGGGACGCTGTCCGATAGGCAGCCGGCTGAACTCCACCTCTTCCGGAACTATGATGCGCCGGAATCGGTGCGGGAGCCCCGCTTCAGCCAGAACGCAAACCTGAAGCCGCCGACCCTGCCTGGAGGTGGGAATGTGTGAAGGCAGTTGGCCCTGGAGACGGAGGGGGTGGGGTGGCAATGCCAGGCTTACCCCTCAGGCACCCTCATCACCATCCATAGCATCACCACCTTGCCTGATGTCACCCAGCTCTTACGGGCTGAGGCCAGGAAGTGCTGAGAAGGCACAAGGCCTCTGGCAGCCTCCTGGAGGCCCAGGGTCCCCACCTGCACCAGATGGGGTGGCTTTGTCATCCTGCTCCCAAGGAGCCCTCAGCCTCCAGCTTTCCCACAGCCCGTGCACACGTGCTGAGCTGAGGCAGGCTGGGTTACACTAGCCCCTTAGGCCACCCTCTCTTACCCCCCAGAACAGCTGGTGTGGAGGGCAGCCCGCAGCAGTGGGGCAGCCCCCACCTACTTCAGGCCCAATGGGCGCTTCCTGGATGGTGGGCTTCTGGCCAACAACCCCACGCTGGACGCCATGACTGAGATCCACGAGTACAACCAGGACATGATCCGCAAGGTGAGCACCACTGGAGGGACATGGACCGAGGGACGGGCGGTGGCGTGAGCTTACACCAGCCGCATGAGCTCACACCGGCATCGCATCATTGGTGCAGTTCTGTCTCATGCGGGAATGTGGTTGACGGTCCCTGCCATGGGTCAGAGGATTCAGAACCCCAAACCCTACAAAATGTGATGTTGTTGTTAGGTGCCGTTGAGTCGAGTATGACTCACAGTGACCCTATGAACAACAGAGCTGAACCCTGCACCAGCCTCATCATCCTTAGACAACCAAGCACGTTGCTACAGTCACTATGTCAGTCCATCTTGTCGTGTCTTCCTCTCTTATCCAGACCCTTCACCTTTCCAAGCATGATGTCTTTTTCCAAGGACTGACCTCTCCTAACAACATACCCAAAATATGTGAGACAAAGCTTCACATTTTTGCCTCTGTTGGTACTTTTTCCAAGACATATCTGTTTGTTTATTTTGCTGTCCATGGAATTCTTAGTATTCTTCTCCAGCCCCACAACTCAAAGGTGTGGATCCTTCTTCTGTTATCTTTATTTCTTGTCCTGTCTCAGATGCATAGCAAGTGGTTGAAAAGACCATGACTTGAATCAGGTGCACCCACACGTTTTCCTGTCTGGGTTTTAGTGGGAATCTGATATCCCAATTTTAAAGTGTTCTGCCATCTGGTGGAGACTTGTATAACTGAATCTAAAGAAACAGGCCTCATCCCATTCACCTTAGCGCTGGAGACCTCCTTGAGACATACATGTCCCACTAGGATTGTTCACAGCTTTAGTTTGCTTGGCTCCACAATCAACACTCTTGGTACCAGCAGCCAGGAAGTTAAAAGATGAATTGCATTGGGAATGTCAGCTGACTTTCAGAGACCTTTTCAAAGTACTGAAGAGCAGCTATGTTACTCTGGAGACTAAGGTGCTCCTGATACAGGCCATGGTCTTTGCAATTATTCACTGTGCTTCAGAGAGCTGGACACTGACTAGGGAGGATAGAAGGAGAATTGATGCCTTTGAGCTGTGGTGTTGGGGAAGAAAGAGTATTGAATGTACCATGGGCTGCCAAGAAAACAAACAGATTCATCCTGGAGAGGGTTAAACCAGGCTACTCCTTAGAGGCAAGGATTCTTGGGCTTCGTCTGACATACTTTGGACATGTTGCAAGGAGGGACCAGTCCTTGGAGAGGGATGTCATGCTTTGGAAGTGGAGGGACAGCACAGGAGAGGAAGACCCTCAATGAGATGGATTGGTTCAGTGACTGGGGTTGGTGTGTCGGAGACAGTGAGATTGGCGCAGGATAGAGCAGGGTTCAGGCCCGTTGTAGATAGGGTTGCTGTGAGTCATAGGGGACTCGATGGCACATAATAACAACAGAATGGACAATCCCCTCATATACAATCAGCTGCCTCTGAAAACCCACTGGAGGGTCAGCTGTGGGTTAGTTCCAACTCACCAGCACACAACAGCAATTGTGTCCAAGCCCATTAGTTGTTAGTGAGGTAGAACCGGCCCGTCACTAACCCTGCACAGGGTTTTCAAAGGCAGTCAGTCACCCAGGAGGAGACTGCTCCCCTTTCTCCCACAGAGCAGCTGGTAGATTCAAACTACATACCTTTGCATTGGCAGTGCCATTCCTTGCCACTAAGTCACCAGCACTCCCTTCAAAATCCTTAGTACCTAAGCAGTTTTTTTCCATTGTATTCATAATACCTTCCTTTACTAAAAATACACAATTTGAACAAAAAGCTTGAAGCAGAAATGAATTTGGTCTTGAGAGGGTTAACAGTGTCTTCTGTGATGGGATTGGACAGTGTGTGTACCATGGACCTGGCCGTCCTAGATACTGTGCCAGCCCTGGGTCACACACCTGCCCTCGAAGCATTTATGTCCAGTGGGGATACTGTCTGTGACAAGGACCTGCCCTCTGAAGAGTCTCAGGTGCTGGGTTCCAGGAGGAATATCACCTTTGCTTGGGGGCCTGAAGGCTGGGGATGGCTCTGTGGGGCGCAGGACCACATCCTGAGGCCTTTTGGGAAGGGCAGTGCAGAACCAGTGGGAAAGAGTGGCTTTCACCCCAGGAGCAGCCACCCCACGTGTGCTGAGAGAGAGAGAGGGCTCTGGAGCCCACAGGCTCTGGGTACTGGTCCTGGCTCCGTTGGAGAAAGATGGATAATCTCCTCCCGTGTGATTGACCGCCTCTGAAAACCTGCTGGAGGATCAGCTATTGATGGGTTCCAGCTTGATGGTACATAGGAATAGCATAGCGTTTCCAGGGCTGAAAATCGGTGGAGACAGAAATGTGTCAGACACACTGCCTCATCTTTCTCCTGTGGAGTGGCGATGGATTCGAATGGCCGATCTTTCAGATAGCAGCTGAATGCTTTAACTGCTGCACCACCAGTATTGTGGCTCCTTTAAGATCAGCACTTATAAAACACTGTGAGGGCACATCTCTCAAACACGTAGGGTCACTGTGAGTTGACTCAGCAACACCCCAAACAAAACCACCACCCAGAGTGTGGACTGTGTGGGCTCCCCACGCCCTTATCTGTACAGCGGCAGGTGCATAGGTGCCTGAGGCCTCCTGGCTGCAGGTGGCGGGGAGGTCACCAAGCAGCGGGCGGGCAGCACTCAGGGTCCCTGGGCGGGCAGGGTGGGAGCGCCCTCTAGGGGCCAGACACGGCAGGGTGGGGCCTGGAACAAGCACATCCCAGTCCCCCTGGTTTCTGTGACGGGCAAGGAGCCGGACCCTGAGCAGGTGGTTTGCCTGTGAACACGCAGCATGTGGCAGCAGGACGTGTTCCGGTGGAAGGCGAGGTGGCACCGAGTCAGGACGTCCAGCCTCCCCTCACTTCTCCCTGCTCGGGGCCTGAACAAGCCTTTTTCCCCCTCACTCTGTTGAGAGTCCTTGCTGGTAACGATAGGTGCCCCTTGTGCAGGCTGCTGGGGTATTGAGTGAGACCATGCTGTAGGTGCCTGGTGAGCACCGGAAGTCAGGGTGGTCCCTCCAGCTCCTTCTCTAGCTCCAGGCGCTGGTCCTCGCAGGACTGGTGCAACCCCATGTATGTAGAGGCGTGCTCCATTGGGGGTGGGGGGGGTTAGCAGCTGGATTTCCAGGAGCAGTTTGCCAGGCCTTTATTCCGCGTACCTCTGGGCATCACTAGCCGTTTGCACCACCCAGACCCTCGGCCCTCCTGGATCCACACAGCAGACCACACACACGACAGTCTGTGGTGCCCACACTGGCCCCTGTCTCAGGAGGGAGCTAGGGCTCCAGGATGGCTAAGTTGCCCAGGCTGTGAATGTGCCCCAGAGACCTGCTCTACCCCACACACCCTGTCCTGTTCACAACAGGGTCAGGGCCAGAAGGTGAAGAAACTCTCTGTTGTCGTCTCGCTGGGGACAGGGAGGTCCCCACAGGTGCCTGTGACCTGTGTGGACGTCTTCCGGCCCAGCAACCCCTGGGAACTGGCCAAGACCGTTTTTGGCGCCAAGGAACTGGGCAAAATGGTGGTGGACTGTGTGAGTAGAGGCCCTTCCCTGGGGTCTCCAGCCCTGGGCTGATGCTCCCCCCCCATTCCTATAGGAGACGACAGGGCTGTGTAAGCCCCTAGGATCCCTGGTTCAGGGCAGGGCAGGGGCCTCACCAGAGCAGGGCGCACCCCCTACTTCTTCTCTGGCCTCCCTTTCCTCAACCACAGCCAGAATCTGAGGTGGTCAGAGCTGCTGGGGAGGGGCCCAGGAGGCCTGGACCTCAGCTGCTGTCACCCTCCCTCCCCCACAACGGGCTCTGCTGAACCTCTGTAGACCCCGCAGGTGTGCACGGCTGGGACAGCAGCAGCTCCAGGACAGTCCTGCCCAGGGTTGTCTGCTGAGGGATGGCCGGGCCGAGGTCTTAGGTGGGAGCTGGACGCTGCTCACTGGCCTCCTCCTTCCAGTGCACAGATCCAGACGGGCGGGCCGTGGACCGGGCCCGGGCCTGGTGCGAGATGGTCGGTATCCAGTACTTCAGGTGAGACCACCAGGCCAGACTAGCCAGCCCATCCACCTTCCCGGCCCCTGGGTGGACTCTCCCTGTCCCCAGGGTGATGCTGTGTCCCCATGCTCAACCCAAGCCCAGGCTTTGTCCCAAGCCAGGCTCGGTGACCCTCCTTCTTGGCCCGGACAGATTGAACCCGCAGCTGGGGACAGACATCATGCTGGACGAGGTGAGCGACGCGCTGCTGGTGAACGCGCTCTGGGAGACTGAGGTCTACATCTACGAGCACCGGGAGGAGCTCCAGCGGCTCATCCAGCTGCTGCTCCAGCCCTGAGGCCACGCCCCCCACGCCACCATAGAGGGAGGGGGGCCCGCCTGGAGCACGGGGCAGGGCTGGCCTCTGCTCTCGGGCCAGTGCCCAGGGCTGGTCCTGGAGGCCTCACCCGCTGTCCCCACCCATTTGCTGGGTTTTAACTCCAGGCTTCAAAAGCCTAGCACCTCATCTGGCCTCTGTCTATAACAGAAAGGGGCTTCTGACAACTGACCGAGGGGACCCCTCATGGGGGGGACCTGTCAGCTGAAACACTAAGGGAACCTTGTGCCCACCCCACCTCCCCAGAGCCTGAGCTGCCCCTCCTGGTGGGTGAGGCCCCTTCCACTGAGCCTCTGTATTCTGGGGCTCGGGGGCTGGAGAAAGGGGTGTCCCCACCTCTTTAGCCAGGGTAACCCAGCCTCCCGGAGCCAGATTCTTCATTCGACTTTGCCCCTCTACACGCCCACCACCCACACCCCTCAGACCCACCTGCCTCAAACCCTCCCAACTCCCAAAGGTTACCTACCCCTGGGAGTCCAGGTCTCCTTCCTGACAAGGAAGTGTTTTTTTAGAGTGTCTGGGGCAGCACTGGGGTGGGGGCACCCCAAACTGTGAAATAAATTATCTGGATTCACGTTCACCCATTTGTGTTCATTTGTAGTATAAGCACAGCCCCCATCCTCCCATGACCTTGACCTTCAGCTTAACCTATCCTTTTCCTAACCTCTACTTCCAGGGTCCCTGGGGTAGGGTCACCTGCTCCTCTCCTCCTCAGAGCAGGGCATGAGGGGCTGACACTGAGCCCTTCCCATAACAGACTTGCCAGGATGCGCATGAAGCGTGTGAAGTGAGGGAGCACCCCACTTGAGAAGAGGGGATCAAGACCCCCCCTGAGTCCCTACTCATGCAGATAGGCGTGTGGGCACTGTAGGCCCCAGCCTGGTGTGGACCAGTGCCCGCCTGTGGATCTGTTCAGCCCAGGAGAGTCCCCAGGGGACAGTGTGTGCATGGGACAGGCCCAAGAGCCAGGGACTTTACGGCTGGCCAGGAAGGCTCACCATGAGAAGGACCAGAGAATGGGCCTGCCTCCATGTCCCCAGCTCAGAGGGTAAATAATTGAAGGGGCAGGTCACAAGAAGCCGCCTGCGTCACAAGATGCCATCCCCCGGCTCTGGTTACGCCCCAGATCGCCTCCTGACATCCCGGCTGGTGAATAATTAAGCGGCTGCCACCTCCTCCCAGCCCTCAGCCCAGGCCCACTCTGCAGCCTTCCTTGCAGCCGCCACCCCGCTGTGCTCCAGTGCAGCCCCTGTGCACCTGCTCCATGGCCCCCAAGATGGACCAGTTCTACAGGTCCACCATAGCCATCTACAAGGTGAGCATGGGTGCCGGGCCTGGGCTCTGAACACCCGCCCGCTGGGCGCTGGCCGCCTGGTTGCAGAGGCCGAGCTGAGCTGGAGGACAAAAGAGCCGGGACTGACAGCATGTTCAGGCATGCGTGGCCCAGAGCCAGGATGCCCTGGGGAGTGGGCATTGGGGCAGACCCTCGGACAGGTTCGTCAGTCACTGGCGTGGGAGGTCAGACGAGATGGCACCCATTAGGATCCCCACCTTGCAGGCCCTGGACTGGGCCCAGTGGCCAGAGCTGGAGACGGGCTGCGGTAGTAGCTGGATGCCAGGGGAGGGACCCCAGACCCAGAGAAGCCTGGGAGAGGAGCTGGCAGTCTGGCGTGGGCCTTTCTCCTTTCTGGGCCTCCCTCGGCTGCCCTGCCCCTCCCAGAGTGTACACACTCCATAGGCATTTATTTGGTACCTTGTGTATACGGCCCTTTCACCTGAAGGCCTCACAGCACCTACCTTTTGGGTAGAAAGTGATCACTCCAGTTGATAGATGAGATCAGAGACGGAGATAAGGTTTGATAAGTCCAGAGAGGTTAAACAGCTTGTTCAAAGTCACGAAGGGAGGAAGAGGAGCTGCTGGGATTTGAGTCCAATGCCAAGTCCAAGACTGGTGCCCACCCCCAGGTGCTTCTCACTGGCCATGGTCCAGGGTGGCCGTGGTGACCCGCCACTACTGGGGGGATTTTGCATTGAGGACAGCATCTGCCCTTGATCCTGCAGGGCTGTCAGCTGTCGTGTGTCCAGCACGAGGACACAGGGGTCAGGATTGTGGCAAATGGATTGAGGCAGGCTCAGCCCAGCTCAGGGAGGGGCCCTCTGAGAAGCACTGTCCTTTGGATGAAGTCGACTGCAGGGGGACCTCAGCTGAGAACCCCGACCCCAGCGTAGAATTCCAAAGGCCCTGGCTGGCTGATGGCAGGGCTTCTGCGGGGACCCCCACCCCTTTTACTGGGGCTGGTTTATCTGCTCTGAGGCCCACCAGCCTGTTCCATCCCATTATCCTTCTCCCCACTCTCACCTGGAACCCTTGTCCCCTGGTCTAGAGCATCATGGAGCAGTTCAACCCCGCCCTGGAGAACCTGGTGTACCTGGGCAACAACTACCTCCGGGCCTTCCATGGTGAGTACGGCCTCAGGTCACCCCACCCCACCAGGTCCTGTCTAGCAGCACCCACCCCCACCCAGTTCACACCCTGCACCCACATAGACAGCCGTCCATGGGATCTCACACCACAGCCTTACAGCCAGGCCCACCTCACACCCTCATCTTCCTGTACTTCAACCCACCCCACCTCGTGCACACCCCCTGCCCCTTACCTACCTCTGCTTGCTCCCAAAAAAAAAAAAAACACAAACAAAAACCCTAAAAGCTCACCTGCCATCAGTTGAGTCTGATGACTCCTCGACAGGTCTGTCCTAGAGAGGGTGAAACCAAGTCTCTCCTTGGAGGCTAGGATTTTGAAGCTCCATCTCACATACTTTGGACACGTGGCCAACAGAGGCCAGTCCTTGGAGAAGGACATCATGTTCGGAAGGGTGGAGGGACAGTGCAGGAGAGGAAGAGCCCCGAAGAGAGCGGTTGATAGAGTAACTGAGGCAATGGGGGTTGGTGTGATGGAGTAAGTGAGCCTGGCTCGGGACAGGGCAGCTTTAGAGCTGTACATAGGATCGCTGTGAGTCGCAGGTGACTCGACAGGCCACACGACAACAGCAGCTCCCCAGCTCCGGTTTCCGAGGTTATAAATCTTAACAGGAGGCTGCCCGTCTCTCTCCCACAGAGTGGCTGGTGTATTTGAACCACTGTCTTTTTGGTTAGCAGCCTGGCACATCTCACACTGGGCCACCAAGGCTCCTTGTTGTTGTGTGCCGTTGAATCAGAACTGTCCCTTAGCTCACCATCCGGCAGGTTTTCAGAGGCTGTAGATCAGGTGGGAGGAGACTGCCCACCCTTCTCCCATGGGGCATCTGGAGGGTTAGAACCACATCCCCTTGCGGTGCCCCAAATTCTGAGAGACAGGGCCACGCCTGGCGGGAACTGTGTGACTCATCAACTCCCTTCCCACCAGTATAGCTGCACACGTTTCCATAAGGTCCCCGAGATGCCACCGGGTGACCCCACCACCTCACCCAGCCTCACCTCTGAACCCCAGCCGTACACACACAGGTGTTTTTCCACATTTCCCTCAGCCAGCCTCGTGCTAACATTGACCCTTCATCCATCCCACTGTGCCCCCAAGTTTCCCAACACTTGTTTGCCAGCACTAATCCACAGACTTGGGGACTCTGTAAGACAGATGGCACTGTGGGGGCCCAGATACCCACCATAACCTCCTGATGGACACTTGGACAACTGAACCTTCCAGACACACACCTATGCCGAGGACAGTGACCCCACAGGGAGCTGAGCCACACCCGCCCCTCCCCCGCCCAGCGCCTGTCTCCACACACACCCGTTCCACTCCCCTGTCACGTGCACACAGCCAGGTCTCGGTTCAGCCGTCCACACCCCTCTCTCCCTGACAAGGGTGAGGGTGCAGCGGGGAAGGGGCAGGACCCGACATGTCCCTTCTCCCCCAGCCCTGTCCGAGGCAGCCGAGGTGTACTTCAATGCCATCCAGAAGATCGGGGAGCAGGCCCTGCAGAGCTCTACATCACAGATCCTGGGTGAGTGCACCCCTATATTCTCAGGGGACACTATTCAAGCCCCTCCTCCACCCCAGGCCACCTTGTGCTGTCCAGGAGCAGAGTCCCTCATTTGGACCACCTGTGCCTCCTGTCAGGCCCCAAGCCTGCCTTGTCCACCGTCCTATCAGGACAGGGGTTCCCTCAGCAGATGTGCCCTTCCACGGGGCACAGGCCTTGGACCAGCCCAGACCCATTCTCAGGGTCCAAGCACCCCACCCTGCTCCCTGCAGCCCCAGAGGCCTGTGGGAAATCCGGACTTTGGCCTGAAATCAGCGTCAGGCAGCCTCTGGTGGGAAGCGGGCGGGCAGGGCCGGTGCCCACACTGAGGCAGCCCCTCCGTGCCCCAGGTGAGATCCTGGTGCAGATGTCCGACACCCAGAGGCACCTCAACTCTGACCTGGAAGTAGTGGTGAGTACTGCCCCACCCCCAGCCTCCAGGGGCATGGCTCCATCCCCAGGGTCCCCTCCCAGGGCCAGGCTGGCTCTGCTAGGCATGGTTACCTGTGCCACCTCGTTCAGTCTGCACAGATACCTGGAGGCAGGGTCCCTGTCTGTCCCCATTTTACAGACGAGGAAACTGAGTCTCAGAGATGTACTAACTGGCCTAAGATCCCTGAGTGAGTACAAGCTGAGCTGAGCAGGGACCATTAGCCAGGGGTCAGGCCCCAGCCTTCTCCTCCTCTGCCCCCCTCCTCCATCCTCCAGAGGAGCACCCCCAGCGGGTTGAGGGCCTAATGCTCGGACGAAGAGCCCTGCACTGTCCCTGCAGAACTGAACACAGGGTTCCAGTGAGGGGCTCCAGGCCCTGCTTGGTCATAGCCTGGCCACCTGCCCCCCCCAGAGCTGGCCAACCCAGCATTGGCTTTGGCGCTGGCATCCGGCACAGATGTCCCTTCCATGAAACCCCGCTGGTCCTGCGGAGTTCGTTCACTCTCCTCTGTGGACACAATGGTGGCTGCTTAGCACCAATACGTTAAGATGGCAAACTGCAGCCAGGACAACGAGGGTTCAAATCCCAGCTCCGCCACTTCCGACAAGTCACCTGACCTCCCTGCATCTCCGTTTACTCGTGCAAAATGGTTATTAGTTGCTGTCACGTCAATTCCAATTCATGATGCCCCTGTGTGTGTGTGTAAACCCCTCTCAGGGTTTTCACGGCCGTGTGTGGCCTTTCAGGGCCAGACTGTCACATCTGTCATCCGAGGCGTCTCTGAGGAGGTTTGAACTGTCAACCCTTTAGCTAGTAGCCAGTCCACTGCCCTCAGGATCCTTTCAGGGACTGTTGCCACCATCCCTGGCAGCTGGGAGCCCTCCGTGTACCTTAGCTGTCATTGTGGGCCTGAAATTGCCTTCCCTGTCTCTGTCCCTCCCATGATGGGGTCCTTGCAGGGGAGGAAGTGGTCTTCTCACGGGAGCTCAGGACCCGGGATAGGCCACCCACCCAGCTTCACTGACAGGGGAGGGAAAAGGGGCTTTGGAGAAGGAATGGAGCCTGGCCAGATGAGAAGGAAGAGGGCCTGGAGGGGTTGGAGTGGACTGAGGAAGGCCTGAGGTTGGCGGGGGTCAGAGGCAATGGGCAGAGGGGGTGAGGATGGGCTCAAAGGTGAGGGCCCTTAGAAGATTGAGAGGGAAGCCACAGCTGATTGTGACCATCGTGGTTGTCACATGTCAGGGACAGGGGTTCCTGGGACCCAGAGTGATGCTGGGACTGCTTCTTGTTGTGTGCCGTCCTCAAAGCCGGCTCCTAGCTGACCTCCAGCGGGTGACTCAGGCCGTGATTCTTCTGACCATTCTGTGCATCAGAGAGCTGGACAGTGAGTAAGGATGACAGAAGACTTGATGCCTGAGTCGTGGTGCTGGAGAAGAATGCTGACCATCCCGTGGACTGCCAAGAGAACAAACAGACATGTCTTGGGGAAAGTGTGGCCAGAATGTTCTTCGGAGGCAAGGATGGGGAAGCTTCGTCTTCCATACTTTGGGCATGTTGCTAGGCGAGGCCATTCCTTGGAGAAGGACATCACGCTTGGAAAGGTGGAGTGTCAGCGGAGGAGAGGACCCCCGATGAGATGGGCTGTCTTCAACAGTGGGCTTTGCGTGTGGGAGCTGACAAGGACGGCGCAGGACAGGGCAGGGTTCAGGTTGGCAGTTCATAGGGTCGCTGTGAGTCGTACTTGACTCGATGGCACCTGATAACAACAACAGCAAATCTCATGGGAGGAGATTGCCCATCTGTCTCCCGCAGAGCAGCTGGTGGATTCAAACCAAGTGCCTTTGAGATTGCAGTGCAGCTTCTTGCCACTAGGCCGCCAGAGGAGACAGTAGAAAATCCTGAGCCATTTGGCTACTATGTTGGAACAGGGAACAATTTCCCGGGCAGGAATTACAGGTTCATCACATTCCTGTCTCCCAGGAGGCTGCCTCGTGTCCCGCTGAGACTGCTTGGGGCTCGACTTCCCATGGTGCCCTGTGCCTTCCTGTCCACTTGTGACACACTTGGCCTGGGCACAGACACGTCTCACCCTGACCCGCTCTGTAAGGGGAGCCATCCCCTCTTAGCCCCAGTCTTGGCTGTGACAGTTAGACAGGGCCCCCAGCCAGACCTGTGCCGGCAAGAACAGAGACAGAGGCTGCCTCCGCCTTGAGCCCATCCACTTAACAACCAGTTACCTCCAGGTGGCCCGTGGTGTGCCAGGCACTGTTGTAGGTGCTGCGACCATGTTGTTAATGTGCCGCTGAGACTACTTTAGGGACCCTGTGATCAGTGGCTCTGAACCCTGCCCTGTCCGGAGCCAACCTCACCGTCTCTGACACACCTGACCCCATTGCCACAGTCACTGTGTCAATCCATCTCATCCAGGGTCTTCTTCTCCTGCACTGACCCTCCACCCTTCCACACATGATGTCTTTTTCCAAGGCTCCTGGCCACATACCCAAAGTATATGAGATGGAGCTTCAAAATCCTTGGTTCTAAGGCAGCATTTCTCCCAAGGAAAGGTGTCAGACCAAAGCCGAGATAAATAACTACGAGTGTTGATTACTGGAAGATGCAGTGACTGCTGTGGAGAAAAGCAGAGTTTATTGTTGTTGTCAGGTGCCACTGAGTCAAGTACAACTCAGAGCGACCCTCTGAACAGATCTAAACCCCACCCTATCCTGTGCCATCCTCAGCACTGAGGGTGCAGATGACCAAGGTCTTCAGTGGTGACACGGAGAAAAGACCTGGAGGAAGATGAGAATTAGTGAGAGAGAAGAGGGAACAGCATTGTGTCCTAACCTGTGCCAGCCTCACAGTCTCTGATGAGACACACTAGAGCCCGTTGCTGTAGGCACCGTGTCAGTCCACCTGGTTGTGGAGGGCCTTCCTCTCCTTCGCTGACCCTCCACCTCCCCGAGCATGATGCTCACTCTCCAGTGAACAGCCCCTCCCAGCAAAATGCTCAAAGAATGTGAGACAGAGCTTTCTCTTCTTTGCCTCCCAGGAGCACTCTGGCTGCACCTTCTCCAAGACACATCTGCTGATTCTTTTGACAGTCCATGGTTTATTCAGTACTCCAACACCACAGCTCAAAGGCATCAGTTCATCTTCAATCATCCTTATTCAGTTCCAGCTCTCAGCAGCATAGCAAGTGATAGAAAAGACCATGGCCTGCATAAGGTGCACCTTAGTCCTCAAACATCATTGCTCCTCAATATTTTGTAGAGATATGCACTTTCCCAGTGCAATACGTCTCCTAACCTTCTGGCTGCTGGTGCTACTATATCTATATATCTATGTATCTATGTGTCTATATGTCTATATGTCTATATATCTATATATCTATAAATCTATCTAGGTATATCTATGTATCGAGAGAGAGAGAGAGAGAGAGAGAGAGAGAGTGTGTGTGTGTGTGTGTGTGTGTGTGTAGATTGTGAAGATGGCACAGAATAAGACAGTGTGCAGATTGATTGTTCCTAGGGTCACTGTGAGTCATAATCCACTCAGTGGCACCCAACAACAACATTTATATATTTTTTCGAATCTCCCTTACTGATCTCCTGTGCGTGCAGGCCTCCCCACAGTCCCGGGCGTTTCTCGTCTTCATGTTTCCGATCTCATCCTCGTGGCCCTGTCCAGGCTATTCTTGGGATCCATCATCTTGACCAGACTCCGATTCCATCCCTTTGGCAAGATAGAGGGGCTGCTGAGTCCCTCGCTGGGAGGCACATCACTCTGTTGGCACGTGGTATCAGCAGAACTGTGAATGCGTTGGGAGCTATGAAATAATATTGTTCTGATACTCTTTCCCTTTTTAATTATAAGCCACAGTGGATTCAGGCTGACCCTCCATGGGTTTCCAAGGCCTTAAGTCTCTTCAGAAGGAAATCATCATCTCATCTTTCTCCCTCAGAGCAGCTAATAGATTTCAAGCTACTATTTCAGGTCAGCTAGGGAGCTCTGGCGGCCTAGTGGCAAGAAGCTGCGCTGCAATCCTGAAGGCACCCAGCTTGAGGCCACCAGCTGCTCCCCAGGAGAAAGATGGACAGTCTCCTCCCATTCAATTAACTGCCTCTGAAAACCTGCAGGAGGGTCAGCAATGGGTCGGTTCCGACTCAACAGTACACAACATTTCAAGTCAACTACGATTTGTAGCGACACTATGAATAGATCTGAACCCTGCCCATCTTTATAATCCCTGATACCCTCAAGCCCGTTGTTACGGTCACTGTGTCAGTCCATCTTGTTGAAGGTCTTCCTCTCCCTGACCCTCCTCCACCTTTGCCAGCATGATGGGTTTTTTCCCAGAACTGGCACCTCCTGGCAAGGTGCCCAAAGTATATGAGATGAAGTTTTACCAACCTTGCCTCTAAGCAACTCTCTGGTTGCACTCCCTCCAGGACGGATTTATTTGTTCTTTTTGCAGGCTCTGGGATATTAAGTACTCTTCTCCAACATCACAGTTCAATCTTCTTGTCATCCTTATCCACTGTCCAACTTACAAATGCATAAGAATGGATTGAACAGACTTTGACCTGTATTGGCACACCTTAGTCTTTAAACTGACATCCTTGCTCTCCAGCACTTTGGAGAAAATCCTTTAAAATAAGGAAATGCATTTGGTTGTGATAGTATGTTTTAAATCTCTTTTAACATATTAAATATTTAAATATATCTATATCAAATCATGGTATCATGAAGAAAAGGTATGAATGAATAAAAGTATGAACTGTGGTGCTGGAGAAGACTTTTGACCCTATCATGGACTGTCAAGAGAACTAATAGGTCTTTCCTGGAGAGGGGGAAACCAAGCTCCTTAGAGACAAGAATTTTGAGACTCCCTCTCACATTCTTGGGCATGTAGTCAAGAAGGACCAGTCTTTGGAGAAGAATCTCATGCTCGGAATGGTTGAGGGACAGTGCAGGTGAGG